AAACTTTAAAATTTTTTGCGAGAATTTTGTTTTTATTTTGTCATGACGTAGAATAAAAAAATTCATATTACTCTGAAATTTTCAGCCCTCTACGATCAACGTTTATAATGAGGTATTATGTGGTTAAATGAGGTTTTTTTTTCTACAGTAGAATTTCCCTAGAAATCTTATTTAAGGCAACACAAAGTTTGCCGGGTCAGCTAGTATTATAATAACTCTGTCTGTCTCTCTCGCTTTCACACCAAAACCACTGAACCAATTTAATTATAATTCGTACACAGATAGTCTAGAGCCTGAGAAAAGACATAGATTACTTTGTAATGCGAAAAAAAGGGTTGAAGAAGCGGATGAAAAGTTGTAGAAGTTTGTAATTTTTAGAGCTAAAAGCTTGAAACTTATTTTTTAGGCTGTGGATTCGATATAAAAAAATATGGCACTAAGCTTAGATACCAGAATAACACATAGGCTATAATTTATCAAAATATAGTGTAAATTACCTAGAATATAACCATAAGTGTGAATATAAGTGTAAGTGTAAGAAAGAAAAAAATCTGCATTCTGCGAAATACTTTTGTGTGCGCTGCAAAAACCGTTGGAATTACACGTAATAGGTATATAATGTAAAATGGAAATGATTATCTCAAATAGTCCTACAAAATGCCCGTGACGGCATATATTATCTATATTTTATTTGTAAGCCATAATCACCAAAATAGTGAACCATATTAAAAGAAGAGGAAAATTTAGATTTTTTGTTACTTTTTTTTTTTGTGTTGGTAACTGTAAAAACCAGATTTGTATAAAAGAACTAGCTAACCCGGCAGACTTCGTAGTGCCTCAATCGATAAAAAAAATACCTAAACTTTTGTATAAAATAAACTTAACACAAACAAAAGGAATCTGTCCGACGGAGGACACATCAAAGGAAAAACAAAATTGTTATTTTTATTAAATTCCGACCGGTTTTCATATTTATCTACCTTTCAAACCTTCTCTGGACTTCCACAAATAATTCAAGACCAAAATTAGCCAAATCGGTCCGGCCGTTCTCGAGTTTTAGCGAGACTAACGAACAGCAATTCATTTTTATATAATATAGATATTCAATAAGATCAATAATAAATTACAGTTCCCGAAGCGAAGCTAGGTTAGGTCGCTAGTCTATACTAATATTATAAAGAGGAAAGATTTGTTTGTTTGTTTGTTTCGAATAGGCTCCGAAACTACTGGACCGATTTGAAAAATTATTTTTCCATTAGAAGCCGACATTGTCCCTGATGAACATAAGCTACTTTTTAAAAAAAAAAAAAAATTTTATTTTCTTGGTTTCATGTGTTTTTTAATATTTCCGAAGCGAAGCGAGGGCGGGTCGCTAGTTGTACTATAAAGCTTGCTTCAATGCCAAACGAATCGCTACCGTAAAATTCCAGTGTTTCATAATTGCAAGCGAAATCCAACGACATAAGCATAAAAAATGGCTTGTTTCATCCCATACGAGGGCTTGTTCTTATTTTCAATTTCATGTATAAGAGGATTCTATAAATTTTAAAATCGCTGCACAGACAGGAAGTCAGATCGAAATCGCGGCGGTCGGGAGGAAATTGCTCATTCTCACGCGAACCTCCGCCTCCCACGGGAATCCGCTCTAATGGAAAAAGTTAAAAAATATACAAAACTTTTTTTATTGCAGCCGGCCGACTTACGCTAGACAGCAGATAGTGCTAACCACGAAGGAACTGTTGCGGTATTAAACGACCTTGTTGGATATTAGTTTTAGTTGTATTCCCCTCGTTGTCTTCTCCTACGAGCTCTTGTAATACAGCCTTTGCGTTTCAATGATTTTATGAAATAATATGAGTACTTTTTTTTAAGGGATTTTGTGACCTGGCAACTAAGACCTTTAAGTCATATCCATAGTTTTAAGTCAGACCATTATTTATATTCTTATTTTTATGAAAAATGATAATATGGAGTGAAATGAAATAAAGATGATTAAAAAATAATATCAGTACAAATATTGCTAAAATACAATTATTACCTATTGTATTTTGAGGTTTGTAGAGAGTATTAAGCCGTAAGCAGCGGTTTGGCTGCGCCGCTGGCATTGAGGGCTGGCGCCCATGAGCGACGGTGATTACTTATCACCAGGATGGTGAGATCTACCAAGAAAACGATAAGAAAAAGAAAAAAAAAATTAGATTAAAATAGGATATGTATGTCTATTAAAATAAAGAAAGAACATAAACATAACGATCGAACTTACTTGTTTTTTTTTTTTTTTCCTTTATTGACTTCGTGTTTAATGTCTGAAAGAAATCCTCATCTTCTCATCATGCACTGCTTTATTTTATTTTATTACCATTAATGATCATATCTCCATTCATGTACTCTGACAATGAAAAACCATATTCCTAAACTTTAGAACGTCCATTTATTTGAGTTCAATTCAATAATAAAAACAATACTTACATTTTTGAAACCGTAACCGGTAGAGAAAAGAGGACAAGGACGTAATTTACGTTTATCTGGCTTAACTTATCTGTTCGCATAGCACTCAACGTTATAGTCTGTAAATTTATGAGCAATGCATCCTAACTGCAAGCAGCAAACTTTTCGTGTATTAGTTACAACACTCCCGGTACTTAATTGTTAAACTTTCGTATAGTATTAGAAAAATTAGGGTTCGGTCCACAGATTAGTCACGCAACTAAACTGTTGACTTTAGAAAGATAAGGTAGCCGATATCTTTTAAATGCTCAAAATTCGTCTATCACTATTCAAAGTAGATTAAGCATGCTATGACGCTATTCACGCAAGTATGCTATGATTAAGCATGCGCTATGACATGTCCTTCTTCAAACGAGGCTTATGGAGAGTATTAAACGGTAGGCAGCGACTTGGCTCTACCCCTGCTGACGTTCATGAGCGACGGTAACCACTCACCATCAGGTGGGCCGTATGCTCGTTTGCCTATACGGCAATAAAAAAAGGTAGTAGGCAAAGTCTTCTACGTATTTAAAGTAATCTTTACTCGTGTTAGAGCAACTTGAGAGCCCGTATGGGTAGGTACCACCACCGTGCCTATTTCTATCGTGACGTTTCTATTGTTTTCAAGGATTGGGCCGCCGTTATACTGTAAAAACACATGTCTCAAGACGGGTGGCTGCATTAGCGTGGTTGATGTCTATGGGCTTCGGTGATCATTTAACACCAGGTTAGCCGTCAACTCGTCTTAGGCATAAATAAATAAAAATGTGTTATTGTCATGTTTATGTATTTAATTAAGGTTAAAGAAATCTCGGAAAAGTAACAATAACGCATAAAATTCGTAAACGTAATTCGTAAACGTAACGACTCAGATATTTCGTTAAAGAAAGTACTGAAATTAAAAAAGAAGAAAATATCGTAAAAAAATATCGGGTCTGTTATCGTGTTACGTTTATCGATAGCTCCTCCCTATCAGTTTCTCCGAATCTGTAAAGACCTTGTACGTGCGTAAGCGTCACATTTTTATTAAATACTAGAGAACCGCCCCCGCTTCGCTTCGGAAACATTAAATTTTATTATTGATAGCTGAGTCCCGCGATGTGACCCGCGGCTATTGTCGTGCTGCGGGCGAAGCCGTGGGGCGAGGCGAGTCTAAAAAAAGTAGCCTAACTTACTCCTTGTATCATCAGCTACCTATCAGTGAAAGTCCTGTCGAAATCGGTCCAGCCGTTCCAGAGATTAGCCGGAACAAACAGACGGACAGACAGCCAAAAGTTGTAAAAAATGTTATTTTGGTGTATGTACCGTATATAACTAGTCAGGTCATAAGTATTGTCACACAGTAAAAACTTTTCTTTTAGAATGCTGGCCACAAAAAAGTTTATTGAATTCGAATTTCGAATTGTTCATGAAAATAAAAATGTATACTTTTAGAATTTTACTCATTTTTAAATATGGAGTGGACGCTTAAAGAAGACCGTGTTGCAGTTATTGCGTTGCATCGTTGCGGTTACGCGCCAATTCAAATTTTTAACATACTGAAAAATTGGAATATAACCAAAAGATTCGTTTATCGTACCATCAAACGATACAATGAAGACTCTAGTGTAGATGACAGGTCAAGAAGNTTTTTATTGATATGTCAATACAGATTTATTTGAATATAATCGTCTCCTTCAAAGAATACGGTTCAAAACCTGCATTAAATAAAGGTTAATAGTTAACCTGTTATTTATCTAAGATGTCGTTCCGAAGAGTTTTGTGACTGCCAATGGAATACAAAGTCAATAATTCGTTTTTCTGATTTATCAATCATTGTCCAAAAGTCAGATTGCCGCCTTTGATAATAGTCGACTCAATTAATAGTTATGTTACTTAAGTAGCTAATACAAAAAAAATGTGGAGATATGTTCACATACGTAACCACAGTATCTAATCATAGGGTGTACGGTATCAAATTACAACATTTTTCAAAAAAGTTAATGTAATTTTGAAAAAAAAAGAGCTGGATATTTTTTTCCGTGGGTAGTTATTGACCCGACCATACACCAGTACCGGCTTATCGTTGAACTTTGGGACACCCTGCATATATATATTTCTTTTGTTTATATTGCTTAAATATGTGGACGAGCTCTGGAGTTACCGAAGCCCATAGAAATCTACAACATAAATGCCGCCACTCACCTTGAGATTTAAGGTCTCAGTATAGTACAGCGGCTTCTCCACCCTTCGAACCCAAACGCATTGCTGCGTCACTACAGAAATAGACAGGGCGGTGGTACCTATCCATGCAATAAAAAAAAACTTCATAATACAAAGACCTCATAGATATTCAAAAACAAATTCTGAAATGAACCGCTACGAATACATAGAACCAAATATAATTGACTATGAAGCATTTAGAATTGTAAAATATACTATTGACTAATTAAACTTAATTAGATTACTAGAAAGTCATGAGCTGTTCGTGTTAGTAGTATTCATTTATTGTACAGAACCGATCCGCTGGTGATTTTGCACGACAAACTATTGATCGGAAAAGATAATTTTAGATAAACGTTGATAAAATATGGCGATTTTTAAGCACTCGCTTTGACAATGTGTGTTTAGTCTTAGTTCTACGGTGAACGACATTGGATACAAGTTTATTTTTCGGTGTTATTACAAAATTACGAAATGTGGTGAGTGTTTTAGCAATCGACTAGTTGTTTAGAGACGACTATGTAACTTCTCGGGAGGGTAGGCAGTACGGACTCCATTTTGAAGAGCGCGATGTTTCATTGAGAGATCATCGGTTCATTAGAACAAAAAAAAAACCTTTGTTCTTATCTGAAATTGCAGCCACCGTAGCATTTTCCATTCAGGATGACTCATCACATTAAGATTTTGAAAACGATCTTTATTTCACGTCTTTGACCACGGCCTTACCATATATTCATCTGAATAAGCGTACATATTTTTATTTCATATTCTAGCGTCCATTGAAATATTCGCTGTCGAAATAAATAAGTACTGTAAGCAGATAGTTAAGTTGAAACTAATTAATGTTTTTTGTGTTAACGAGTCAGGCGTTTTGGTGCAAACTGTAAGCCTGACTTTGTATTGAATGGAATCAGTAAATAAATAAATATATGTATGGTCAGGAAAACCATCAAATATCTTTACTTACGTAAACGGGCGTCTACAATGCGTCGGATAGATTTTAGATATATCGTAAAACGCCCTTATGTCATTGGTTTGTCCGTCATTTTGTCGATTACCGTTGTGCTACGTTTTAAAATAATGAATTTTGATTACGATATCCATCAATTTATAGGTAAAGTATTAGTTTTCTTAGCATAAATACCAGCAAAATCTAGATTAGTTAACTAGAAATGTGGTTAACCCACAGCTAACCCATAGGTAAAAAACTTTATAATAGGTTGGGGAAAAAGTTTCTTCGCATTTTTTTAGAAAATTCACAACATCTTTTAATATCGTTTATTTACATTTAACTAATATGTAGGTACCATTTTATTCGATAGCTTTTTGCCATCTTGTAGGTAGGGACATGATCCCAGTGCTATAGAAATTTTAGGGCTTCTGATCAAAATCCGCGACAATTGGTTTTGGCAGTCCTCTCGTGATGTTAACCTGACACTGCCTAAAGAATTGAGAAGAGACCGAAATAGGTGAAAATCTGAAGGTGCAAGGTCAGGACTATAGGGAGGATGCATTAACACCTCTCAACCCAGCTCTCTTAATTTTTGCTGAGTCGCTAAAGATGTGTGAGGTCTAGCGCTATGATGAAAAACCACGTCCCCTTCTGTTGATTAACTCCGGCCGCTTTCTCTCCACTTCTTGCTTTAATCTCATCACTTGTTCGCAGTAGAGTTCAGAATCGATGGTCCTGCCTGGTGGTAACAGTTCGTAATGAATAATGCCCTTCCAATCCCACCACACACACAGCATCCATCACCTTGTTGCGAGCTAGCTCGGGTTTCACCTCAGTATGTAAAGCCTGACCGGCCTTTGACCACGATCTTTTTCGCACGTTCTTGTCGTACGTGATCCACTTTTTATCACCAGTTATCAGCTTCTTCAAAAATGGTTCGGTTTCATTACATTGTAATAAAGAATCACAAATGAATACACGGTTCATTAGGTTTCTTTCAGTGAGCTCGTAAGGTACCCAAATACCGAGCTTTTTTGTACCCAGTTTTTTCAAATGCGCCAAAACTGTTTTGTAGTCGATTCCCAGTTCTTCAGCTACGTCGTAACTACTGATATGATGGCATAAATTTTATCCGTAATAGGGCGACCAGAGCGACGTGCATCTTTGACATCAAAATTTCCGGATTGAAAACGCTTAAAAAAAATTTGTGCTACTCTCTACTACACTAGGTCCATAAATACCGCAATTTTTTTTCGCGGTTTGCGTTGCATTTTTACCTTTTTTGTAGTAAAATTTTAAAATGTATCGAATTTCTTCATTAGGTTCACTTATCTTGACAGTACGAAAAATAAATAAAAATCACACATTTTCACAATCACAATATGAATTTGGAATTATCTTCTTTAAAATTTAAACTTTTTATGATACCAAAACCAACCAGATACAAATAGTATAGCCAAAGAGATTTTATTACAAGTTCATACATATAATGCGAAAAGACTTTTTCCCCAACCTATAAGTTTCCATGTGCATGGTTACTTAAATCGGGATAATATTCCGAATTCTCAATAAAGTAAAGCTAAAAATAATGTGCTTGCGAATAAACTATTGAATGGCAATTGAATTTTTAATATACATAAAATACCTTTTTTTCGTGCCTGGTCACGCCCTGACTGACCGCAATCACGCGTTGCAGACGTCGCAACGCCGCCACGTAGTCGCGTGTCAGGGCTTGGTTAAATGGACCGGAGCCGATCATCAACATAACCGCCTCCACCCACCCCGAGACATAAGTTCTAAATCTCAATTCTACAGTAGAACAGCCGCCCCACCCTTCCAACCGCATTAGTGTTTCGCAGCAGAAATAAGCAGAGTGGTGGTACCTACCCGTGCGGGCATACAAGACGCCCTCCTCTCCCACCAGTTAAATTATTTTTTAATAGGTAGCTTATTATTACAAATCATACAAGTGTTATTAGTCATCGTTATCACGTACACGATCATTGTCATACTTGCGATACGTTGTAGGTTTTTCCAATTTTTAAATACCTACATAGTATATGATATAATATAATCTTTACTACCTCAAAAGATAAAAAACCCTAATAATCGTAAAATATGTAAAACAGTGAATCAGAATTTCGAAATGATAACGAACGCTAATCCTTTCGAAATTTAATACAATACAAGTCGCGGCCTAACGGATAAGGCGGCCGGTGTACTTGTACGGAAAGACGCGACCGTGTCGGCACTTGAATCAACAAACTAAATACGTTTTTACGGAAATACGTATCTAATCGTGTACACGAATGGCTCCCGCGATCTGAAGTTTTTTTGGTAAAAATAGGATTACGTAATTACTTTACATACTACTGGCCGTAGGGCGTATTGTGCGAAAAAGTATACCTTATGCCTAGGTAATCTAGGTTCTTAGAGCGGTGGTCACGTTAGTATGCTTATGAGCTTCAGCAATCACTAAATGTACCGTCGGCATCGTCTCTCTATGTTGAGCAAAAGTATTTCACACTAATAATTATTTTACACTAGCTGACCCGACAGACTTCGTAGTGCCCCAATCGATAAATAAAAGACCTAAACCTTTGTGTAAAATAAACTTAAAACAAACAAAAGGAATCCATCCGACGGGGGACACATCAAAGGAAAACCAAAATTGTTATTTTTATTTAATTCCCAGCATGTTCATATTTATCTACCTTTTAAACCTTCTCTGGACTTTCACAGATAATTCAAGACCAAAATTAGCCAAATCGGTCCAGCCGTTCTCGAGTTTTATCGAGACTAACGAACAGCAATTAATTTTTATAATTATAGGTATATAGAATCCCATAAAAGTCACAAGCTTCATAAAACAACGTTCTAGAAGGTTCTTTTGGTACAAAATTGTTAGTCGAAGTGCTCTTATGTCGTTCGTATTAATGTGTTTTCTATCTATTCACGATGTCTGATTAAAACGGTGGTAGATACATTCAGTTCATCGTTAAAGGGGATTTAAAGATCCAAAATCCAGATTTAGAGATTCGACATTGTATTTAAATAAATAGACTGTACATAATTTAGACTATAATATGAAATGTGATGTCTTATTTACTTGTCTTTTGGTTTCGACCTCTGTTATCCTCTCGTTTACGTTTCCAAGATATTCAAACCCTATAAATAAGTCACAGTACCTTTTCCATTGCAGTCTTTAAATATATGCATTCTGAATACGTACTCTACAATAAAAGTGACTTAGAAACGGATTTCTTTTTCTTTATAAACCCGTAACAACATGCCTCTATTATCATTCAAGAAATGCATATTTGTTAAGCATTTACATACATAGCATTATGACATTCAGTTGAAACCAGCTAGGTCATTGCATGATCTGCATCTATACACAATCAGATGTTGATCATGCATATCGGCATGCGTCATATGTGCCTTTCTCTTTCCAACTTATAGGTCATAATCATATTCTCTCTGTCTAACTTTCGCAGATTTGGGAATGGATACATTTGTCCCGCGAATATTACAAGAATGACTTAGCTTAGGTTCCTTATTCTCAATTTTACGGATACTGAGTAACCGACTCAAATTCGAGCGCTCATTTAATAATCTCATTAACCCATATGATTCATATCGAGTGTTCCACTTAAAAATTCTGGGTGAAGCTTATCCAACCAAGGTACAAAATACATTTCCCACTAATGACGATTTCGTAAATAAAGTACCAAATATTAATTTACGACATCAAGAATAGTAGCGGCAGCTATAATAGAACAATTTGTATGATTGATGCTTGTATGGCGCTAACGACATTTCAAGATAAAATTGCATTTATACATACAAGTTCGGAACAATAAGAGCTCAGCCCACTGAGTTTCTCGCCGGATCTTCTCAGTGGGTCGCGTTTTCGATCCGGTGGTAGATTCTGCCAAGCACTGCTCTGGCTAGGGCCAGTGTTAGCAACACTCTCAGTTTGAGCCCCGTGAGCTCACCTACACATCAGAGAAGCTGAAATAGCCTCTCAAGGCTATCAGCAAAGGTAGGAAAACAAAAAAAAGAGCAATTTCATCCGCTCATTTTCCCTTTATCGTTTGCCCCAAAAGCAAACAAAAAAAAACAATATTAAAAGACTGGTTATTATTGATTGGTTTCAGTTGCGGGTGCGTTTGTTCTCTTCTTTGCAAGATCATCAGTGCGATAATCTCAGTGTTATTCTTTATTGCGATCGTGCTCCTCGTGCTGTGGCTGGTCGGAGTTATTTTTGTGACATGTAAGAAATATTTTATCTCTATACTTTATATTATTATAAATTCCACATTAATTACTTAACTTAGCATAATAAAGTAAAACAAATTAAAAATCATAGTAACATCATAAAGTTGATTATCGATAAAGTTCATTATTGAAAACACGAATAAAATAACATTTTCTGAAAATAAATCATAGCTAGATCGATTTATCGCCCCCGAAATCCCCTGTATACTAAATTTTATGAAAATCGTTGAAGCCGTTTCCGAGATTCAGATTATATATATATTAATATACAAGAATTGCTCGTTTAAAGGTATAAGATTATTAAATTTCATTGAACGCAGGATTGCCTTAAAACTTACTAGAAATAATGTAATTTTAATTTAACATTAAAAGTTAATTTTCAAATTCCTATCCAAATGCACCCGAAAATACAAAAACGACATTCTTATACCAGCTTGTGCCTGTAATTAATAAATAATTGTTTTTTTACAGAGCGACATCGATTGGAGACTGCAATGAGTCATTGAAATAATTAGAATAAGATATCATGTCAATTAAATTTAATATGTAAATAATAGTAATGCACAAAGATTATTTTTGATAGTTTAGCTGTCATCAATAACATAATAAATTATGAACATTAATCTGTGATGAGACTATAGAATGTTAAGACAAAGTATGATGGTAACAATTTATAATATAGCTTTACCAGTCAAATTGAATCCCTCAAGTTAAAAAAAAAAAACTCGAGGTGCATGTCTCTCTTACTGGCTTATTGAATTGAAAATCGATTATGAATAGTGTTTTATTTTGTTAATAATATTTTTAATGAAATTTAAGCACTATATTTAATATTTACCCTTAATTATTAAAAATGACTAAATTATAGTAATGAGTGAAAAACAAAATAAACTGTAACTGTTAATAACTGTAACACTGTAATTAAATTATTTTTTTCTAGATTCTAGACTATTATATTTTCTAATTAATAAAAGGAAGCAACGAAATGTGTGTTTTTTACCTATTCGTGTTATTGCTTTGAAGTTCATTTCATAGTTCCTTACCTCCTATCAGGGTTCTGAAAATTTCAGTCCACGACTTTGAAGCCAAATTTGACGCCACGCTTTTTTTTTATTGCTTAGATTAGTGAAAGAGCCCATCTGGCGTTAAGTGGTTACTTGAGCCCATAGACATCTACAACATAAATGCGCCACCCACCTTGAGATATAAGTTCTAAGGTCTCAGTATAGTTACAATGTTATAGTGCTATTATTGATTTCTGGTAATAATACACAGTAAACCAAACTTTTAAAGTCGTATTTCAAAAGAAATCAACAAGTCTATTATACCGAATCTTGATTAATTAACACATCAGTCAGATGTTGTTTTTTTTTAAAATGCACCTAAACTAATTTTTTTTTATATGAGTAATTTCTTAAAGTTTGGTCGAATTAGACCTTTTGGAAAGACAGTTCACAATTAATAGGTATACTTTAAATCACAATCCGTTTAATTTGATTACGATTAAACAGGTTTGTCGACGTACTACGTACATGCCGATGCTTATTTAAACAACGCAATTATTAAGCAACATATATTTAACGTGGAATTTCAATATTTTAAACAACATTTACAATTAGGATTATTAGGAGTGTGATTATACGTTTTAGTTTTGGCGGGCTTTCTGTCTCCAGCACAGACTATATAAATATGTGTAGATAACGCTGCCAGGTGGCGATAAGTACACTTACAATAGGCCATAGGATTGTCCAAAGTTTTTACTTAATACCTAGGTAAGTACCACAGGCGTATCATACTGCAGTAATTTTGGTGCATTCAATACCTTGTACTATGACGTTTGGATTTGCAGTTAGTTTTTCTTGGAACGATTCACAGTATTATGAGGTAAATTTAGTCAAAACGGAAATTTTACTGAAAAGGATAGACAGACATTTTACAATGTAGCTGTCATTTAATAGAACATCGGAAACTGAATGAATAACCCTCTTAAATATAAGATTGAAATTTCAATTACATTCACATTCTACCCTTGAGTTCAATAAAATTATGTTCTTACTTTTTTGGACCCTCCGACCTTAATAATTTAAACTAATTTAATTTGTGCTGTTTAATAATTTCTAGTAGCCGACACTTGTAAATGTGCGTTGGATAAGTAACCTAGAAACAAATTCAATAAAAAGAATTAAACAAAAAAAACGATTTCAACCAAATAAAATGAGAATATCATCAATGTTTACACAGCAGTTTATTTGTAAATTATGAAGGATAACTGAAAAAATAGATAGTGGTCAGATATAAATAATATTAATTTGTCAAAAGAGTTTCCTACTCAATTAGAATTTATTTAATATTTTATAATTTCGGACGTAATCTCTTTTGACAGAACAGCATTCAGAAATAATGTCTTATGCTTGATAAGTTTATTGAGTATTTAATTTTATTCGCATTATTAGCATTCAAAAACGATATTATTCAACAACAACAAAAAAAACTTTTAAAACTATGGTACTATATTTGAAAACACGGACGGTTACTGTTTTATTTTGATCGATTTTAGTTAGTTAAATGTGGTAAGTATTAAATATGAATATAATAACTAATAATTCTAAACTGACCATAGTGAAGCAAATTTAAATAAAAAATCGTATATTTTTTTTTTTTTTTTTTATTGCTTAGATGGGTGGACGAGCTCACAGCCCACCTGGTGTTAAGTGGTTACTGGGAGCCCATAGACATCCACAACGTAAATGCGCCGCCCACCTTGAGATATAAGTTCTAAGGTCTCAAGTATAGTTACAACGGCTGCCCCAGCCTTCAAACCGAAACGCATTACTGCTTCACGGCAGAAATAGGCAGGGTGGTGGTACCCACCCGCGCGGACTCACAAGGGGTCCTACCACCAGTAAATATGAATCTTACCTATATCGAATGCGTTCACGAATTGGTAGTTTTTAGCTGCTTAGAACCTATGACTTGACCAAATAGTTTTTATTTTTCAGCTGTTTAATTGGTTTGACGTGTCAGCTAATAACACTGCTCGCTACAATATTGCTGGCGGCCCTTATTGCTGTAGGGATTGTAACAGTCGTCAAGTCAATGATGTGAAGTGAGCACTTAAGGTTATTTATTATTACTTATTACACTTTAAGGTTATTTATTATTATTACTTATTACACTTATTTACTTTTAAGATCACATAGATCTAAATTGTGTCTCTAGCATCATAAACCTGTACCTAAATTTAAAACAAATCAGTCATCATCATCATCATGAAATCGTTGCTTTATCAATTTTCAGATCCAGACGATAAATTAATTTTATTCAATTTCTTCAAATCATGTCTTAAGCCACAAGTTTAATATTACCATAATTGGCCGTTTATATATGAAAAAACGTCAATTTGTTTATAAACATAAAAATAAAATTAGCCTGTGCTTTATTAATTAATAACATTACTTAATCGCCAATCTTTTGAGGTCCAATCGCCTCACATCAATACAGAATCCCTTAGAAATAAGGTGACGCTCTACAAAACTTGCATACACCCCGTCATGACCTATGCAAGGTGCACTAAGGTGCTTGAGGTACCTAAAAGCACCGTTAGTGTATCGGGAGGATCCGTAATGACGTGCTTAGGGTGACGTCGACTGTTTACCATTCGGTCCACAGGATCGGGTATGGGTATCTGTTACGAAATACCGTAAACGAAGTACCTACCTCAAAATTGATAATCCGACCATACCTATTGTAAATGGGTCAAGATTTTAATAAGCTTGTGATTTACATTCTAAGTAGTTTCTTTTCGATATATAAATAAATAGTAAGTATTACATCTCAAGATATATTTTAAATATTTCTATTTTATTAAATGAGAATGTACAACATGACATAAACTGCAGATATTGCCCAGTAAAGATTTCATTCGAATTTAAATTTGTCGCGCAGTGAGTGTGCAACGATGTAGTGTTGTATTTCCTCTGAGAGATATAAAATCCAGCGCAAAAATATGGCTTCCTCTCCCCTGTTGAATATAACACCCCACAACGAGATTGCATCGTGATATGATTGGTGTAGGTATTCTGTAATTTTTAAGAACACAGTGCAGCGCACCTTTTGTTTAAACTCAATAGCAAAATTTGTATAGGTATATAGTTATGTAGATTATATTATAGTAGATTACACTAACTTTAGTTGCAAAATATCAATCACAATACAAGTACGTCGTAAAAATCTTGTCCGTTATATAAGATTTTCTTCACTCATCGTCTTAATAACAGGTACCTACATTTCTGGTCTGAGGTCTGCTCAGAAATTACTTGATTGCTTCAAAGCGTTCCAAAAGTGGAATTTTTTTCGCACTAGCGTGCATGTGTACCATATACTTAATATGTGGTCCATTGTTCGCGAAATTATTATTATAAATTAACAACTAGTTTCAGTTAGGTTCAGTGATTGTTTGCATCTGTTCTCTGTGCTATCACGTGTGTCACATATCTTCTAAGTGTATCATCTATGAGGTGTTCTATGAGGTAATATTTGTATTGTAATATGATAAATTATAAACGTGGCATTATGTAAGATATTTTCAAGGCGCGCTCACTAACATCTCACAGAAAATTTTATTTGTTTTATAATACGCAAAAATCTACTATATAAAAAATTTACTGCATAGGTTGTTGACATACCTAAATACATTTCATATCGTCGCTGCCAACCAAAATCTGCTATATGCAAAAATTCTATTTTGAAATAACGAGTAAAAATATTTTCGTATAAAATTTTGTATGAAGGTGAAATTTTAAGAACTAGGTACCTATATCAAATGAAAGCTATAGATATAATAAGCTATATATATGAAGGCTATAGGCAAAAAAGCACACAATATAGCAGATGTTGGTTTGACAACGACGATATTTAATTTTATTTAAATCAACTATCGTCTGATTATGCAGGTATTACTGCCATCTATTGAATCATATGTGTACTTCATGCTCAGTATTGTCGAAGGAGTTCCCGTTCCTATATTGCTTGATAACAAACAATTCGATTTCAACATTTTTTAGGCTCCTTACATTTTAAATCACTAACCGATTAGCATTTACTTTGTTTAATTATCTAAATAAAACACACTTTCAGTCCATATGGCAAATAATAACCAGTTTGGATTTTTTTGAGGATGGCAACTAGACAACCAATTAGCGAGACGTTAAGCAAGGCAACTATTATAAAGACTATTTAGGCACCACGGGAGTTGAGTACGCTAGTGAACTAGCACATGGAAAATTGAATAAAATGAAATAAGAAATAAGAGATAATACAAGTCCACGCCGTAAATGTTGGGTAACATGAATTTAATAATAAAAGATTTCAATAAAATTATATGAATGAAAAAAAATCCTTCCTGTTTTAAAAGTGTCCAAGAAACCACGTCCAGCGATTTTGTTTGCTGTTAACACAATTGTAAACCTTCCCAATTAAAAAAAATAAGCCACCACTAAACACTAATTATTTAAATCTAAAAAAAACAATAAAATTTTAATAACAAAATAAATTATTTCACAAAACACCTGCATTCCCGCCAAAGAATTGGACGTATTACGGTGCCTACGGTCACTACAAGTGACCAAAAGATGACCAAAAGTATTAAAGTTGGATAGTGAATTAAAAAAAGAAAGATTTCCGCTTATGACGCACATTTCAAAATAGCATATTAATATTATTATATAGACATAATAATTAGACCAAAATAGTACTTATTTTTTTGTCTTAAGGAATACCAAAAAAAGTGGAATGTGTGTGCCTTGAGTGAAAAAATCATAGACCTTTCAGTGGAAAAAATGCATCTTCTCTACAAATGCTACATTCAGAATAAAATATCTTAACACGATTGCGCTGTTTGGGTGGGGTTGTGAGTTGGATGTTGCTGCTTACACTACTACAGCTTGATGCTTTTTGTTTTGTCTACTATAAGAAAGTTCTCCTTATCTTTATCCTCCAGAAGGTGAACAAATATGTTTTTGTGTTTGTTTCGTCCATAGAACAGGAGAGAGATAGGTACCAACAAATTTCTAACAAAAATCAAAGCTATGTCTATTGTATAAAAAATGAAATTGACTATAGAAATGAAATGAAATCACATTTCACGGTGATGAACGTCAACGCCGTAACTTTTGGATGAAATAAATTATACATCTCAGTAAGCCGATAAGAATAACAATTGCTACTAGATTGATCGGTTTACCTGAGAACGTAATCGCTAACATAAAGATCCCTTTGTAGGTAATAATTCCTGGCTATATCAAGAAAAATATTTGATTCAACAGATTCCAATTTTTCCCATCTATGATATTAATATTATTATCCTATTAAACTATGAACAAGTTATGTGACGTTAATGTGTAGTTATGTTGTTGGTTGTTAGACATTAACAAGCTCCATAAATTCCCAATAACTTTACCGAAATATTATAGATACTATTAAATTGAATAAAAATTGTAAAAATATCCATTCCACATTAATTTCTGTATGGTATACATACTTGGTATTATTACTGGTTTAACGATATTAAAAAAACAGAGATAATAGGTATGTACTTTAGAATCCAGTTTATAGTATTACTATGTGTAATGTATATCTGTGGCAGTGGCGTAATCTATCTAAACAAGTGACGTAGTATCTCGCTTCGATACCTACCTAATCGGAAAGTCGGATCTCTAAATTCACTATTCTGGGCCGTGATCAAATAAGTATTTCGAGTGTTTTGAAATTTTAGTAGTAAATTTACCGAAATAGAAAATGTCTAGATGTAAGTACCCACATACTTCCCTAATTACTATAGCCTCTTTTTTTACCTTCTAAGATGCAAGTGTTTAGGTACTGAGGTACTAAAATTTTTATTTGTCGTCACTGAAGAATGTTTATTTAGATACCTACAGAAAAACTATATTAACGCCGCTCTAAATAAAAAGTGTAGAATGTCTGTTCTTTAAGCATCGTTGAATCATTGATGGTGCCGGTCACATTTACGATGAAAAAAGTTTTTGTATTTCACGTTGTTTTGAGAAAACATTGTATTTTCGTTAGATTTTCCAAGTCCTAGAGATTAAAGGTACTATATTCACGTTGAGTATGTAAGTTTAATCGAATTACAAATAATTGTTAAAGTAAGGTTACACAATATGTCATAATAATAATTATTAGCTTGACTCATCAGAAGCGCACATTCGTTACAAAAAAACCACTGTTTTCACGAATTTTATATTTCCAAAATCCTAAATTTTTATATTAAAATTATATTCTAGAGAACAATATAACAACAATATATTAACAAAGTTTTGGAAGTACCTACATAGTCTAATGCAATATTCTGTTGTCATTTTTAATTTATCAGATACTAAGTTAAATTGTATCATGTCCGTGTTAAGAAAACAAAATCGTAACAGGCGATTTTACTAAAAAAATATATAAAATAATCTTACATACTAGGTGTAATTAATCCCAAATCTTGCTAAAAATATTTTCTGATTTATTTGTTTGCTTGAACATCAAAGTATAAAACAAATGATAGTTTTAGTTTAGCCCGATTTGCAAAAAAAGTTAAGAATACATTTAGAATTATAATTACCTAAATTAAATAGTTTATCATACGTCCAAGAAATATTTCGTTTTCTTTAGGGAAAAATATTGTCTTTGAAATACAGGATGCTTCTGAAATGTATTTTGAATCCTTGATAAATTAAATTTTATTTTTCTACCTATTGGCTGGTAGCGTAAGGGACTATAACTGCTAGGTGAGATCATGGGGCTCAAGAGAGTGTGTTAACACTGGTTTTAGGAAGAGTAGGGCTTCACAGAATCTGCTTCACATCGAACTCATCATTGTAATCGCCAAGTTTCTGGGGGACTGTGACTGGTGTTTGAAAAGCCTAAAAGTACTGAGACTGGATCCGGGAGATCCAATAAAACATGTTCAGGGTAACATCAGATTTTTGTTGCCCTGTAGCCAGGCTTGAATATAAAATTAGTGGCAGCCACGACAAGAGAGCTATCTGTCGCGTTACTTTGTCAACATAGCATTCTGACACTTCCTAAAGATACTTATTATTCAGTTCTATAAATTTACCTATAAACAAAACTTTTTATTTAAATTTCAGATCCATACGGAAACCCAAATTATCCCCCACCCCAAGGACCAATTTACCCATCGCTCTACAATCCTGCAAATGCTCCACCTCCTGGCCAGCCTAATGTACCACCAAATTATCCTGTGCCTGGTTATAATGTTCAACATTCATTCCAACCCGGGTATAGTCTCGGACAACAACCTGCAGCAATGTCTTACCCAGGAATCACGCCAGCACCAACTGCACCTCGCGGCCATGTGACACCACATGGTGCATTTGGTTATCAAAGCTATCCTTATGTGACACCAACCCAGAGCTATGATAGTGAGTTCATTGATTATGTTTTTATATTTGATATCAAAAATTTGCATGGGAGTGATAAATAATTTAGGGTTTCGATATAATTATTATATGCTAATTTTCAGCAACAATTGAATGGGTTCCTACAACTCCTCAAAATGCTTCGATACTTAGCGAGAAGGCAGTGGTGGCTGGTTATGAAGGTCACGATGGTAGTCCCCTTTGGGTGATCAGGTCTCAGTTCCAAGGAGATCTAATCCCAGGCAAGTTATGCGTGAAACATTTCTCTGCATATGTTCCGTGGGGAGGAAAAGAAAATGCCGTTCAAAACATTGAGGTAAGTTTTCTTTTATAATATAATGATTAATATTTTTTGAAAAAATGCATAAAACTTATGGAGTCTGAAAAATTAATAAAAAATTATTTTCACAGGTGCTTCTCACAAAGTTTAATATAGCCTTGGTTTTCCTCCCACTGCCCTAAAAAAATTGTCTCGGCTATAATCTGTCTTAGACTTGACCACGCTTGCTCCCCTGTTTTTCTTGCCAAAATTAGAGTCCGTGACCATTCTCTTTGTGAGTGGATTAGATGAGGATACCCTGGATCACATTTTCTTTGACTGGCCCAATATCGTATCCCCTCTTTATGATATCCTTCCAAATGACATTCCCCAGCCTATTAATATTAATTGTTTATTAACTTTAGTCGCTGACCCGGCAGACTTCGAAGTGCCTCAATCGATAAATAAAAGACCTAAGCTTTTGTATAAAATAAACGTAAAACAAATAAAAGGAATCCGCCCGACGGGGAACCATCAAAAGAGAAACAAAATTGTTATTTTTATTTAATTCCGAGCATTTTCATATTTATCTACCTTTTAAACCTTCTCTGGACTTCCACAAATAATTCAAGATCAAAATTAGCCAAATCGGTCCAGCCGTTCTCTAACGAACAGCAATTCATTTTTATATATAGAGATAATATTTATCTCTAAAGTAGTTAGTCTAACATATATTTGTTTGTGCTGCTCTTAAAAGCACAGATTCGCGTATAGAAAAACCGACCAAATTTATTTGTATTTAGATTTAGTAATTTTTTTCCCTCTCCTAAGTACCGGTCATTTTTGTAAATACTTTGACATTGGCAAAATCAATGCCAAAGGCGTTGGAGCCAAATTCTTTATGTAAAAATAAAAAAAAAGTTGAATATATCTTATCTCAAAAGTATTTTAGCATTAAAATTCCAGTCCAACTGTTTCGGTGAGCTTAATCAATTTGCAACCACTAATATTTTAAACACTAAATATTGAAATAGTGTACTGTACTAAGTTTTTTATTTTTTTATTGCATAGATGGGTGGACGAGCTCACAGCCCACCTGGTGTTAGGTGGTTACTGGAGCACATAGACATCTACGACGTAAATGCCGCTACCCATCTTGAGATATGAGTTTTAAGGTCTCAGTATTGTTATAATGGCTGCCTTCCTTCAAACTGAAACACGTGACTGCTTCACGGTAATAGGGAGGGTGGTGGTGGTTAATTTCTTTCTTAAACACACATGCTTGTGTCATGTATATTCACAGATTTAAGGTGATCTTGTGCTAAAACATTTTCTTTTCTTATTCATGAACAATTCTTCCATATTTAATCTTAAATATATAATAATATACATATAAAAATATTGCTTCCTAAAAATGTTAATTACCTATCTGTAGTTGGGCAGCAGAGTTGTTGACCCATCTAGAGTTGAGTTGTAATCTGACTCCGCATAAAACAATGAGAATACTGCTCATACCCCAGACATAAGATTGAAGTCTCAATTGTATTGAAATAATATAAGTTGTTAAGATCCAATTAATTACATGGAAGTTAATTCCTTTTAGTTTGAAATATTTCATTTTCTATAGGTGTGCTGTGCCCGTCCTGAAAGGGTCAGGTGGTTGGAAAGCCGTGATGGTGTGATTCCTCCTAATGCTGTAATGGGTGGCAACACTGCAGCTGGTGAACCTCTGTATATTGGCAGGGCTAGGGAACAGGGATCATTGACCCCTGGAAAGGTATAACCATAATATTATAGTTTTCTTGTCAAATATTTTTTCTAAAACATTAGAATGTGTTATTTGTATGTTTTGTGGTCTCCTTTTGTGTATGGTATATACAATCAATTATTTCTTAATTTAATTGACATATTCCCATCTTATATTCTGTCACCCCACATTTTAAGTACTCCATGAAAATCTTATCACAGTACAAATACTGCCTTGCATTGTTTCAAAATTCTTTAAAACATTCATCGTCATCTTAGCAGTTTTATGCACTTCATTCGTTTATTGCATCCACTTCGATAAAGCGGCACGACACGAGAACCCTCTCATCGTGGCCGCCGGTAACTACATTCCCGATCCTGCAGACAGAATCGAAAGCAGTCGACGTCGCCCCAAACACGTCATTTCGGATCCTCCCGATCCACTAACAGTGCTTTTAGGTACCTCAAGCACCGGTCACCGTTCTCGTCGAACCCATCGCTTGCGACGAAGGGCTCGACGAGTAAATTAACCCTCAGACACAGCCCACTGAGTTTCTCGCCGGATCTTCTCAGTGGGTCGCGTTTCAGATCTGGTGGTAGATTCTGCGAAGCACGGCTCTTGCTAGAGTTCGTGTTAGCAATGTCGTTAGATTTGAGCCCCGTGAGCTCACCTACTAGTTAAGGTTCCGCTGAAATAGCCTCTCAAGGCTATCAGCTTAGGTAGGAAAAAAAGTATCGTTTATTGCACAATCATGCTGTGTGCTGAGATTTTCTGTCAGTGTGCTAAATTCGTGATTTGGATTTAAAGCAGACTTTGTCTGGTCATTTGGTCGCATTGGCAATCCCAACCGTGACCTGGTCAAATATTCACTCTCACCTTATATCACAAGTCTATGAAATTGCTCTTGTCGTTAATACATTACTGACATTTATACGATAGTAACTAATTATCAAGCGATAACCAAATGGGCTGGTGGTAACACTGTGCTTTCGAGTGACGAAACGTTTGGATTCATTACGACGCTTGAAAGGCAAACGTAACTAAGGGACAATAACTTCTTTATACATAAATGATAGGCAATAACCATATTCGATGCGCAAAATAAATATTTATCTAGGTCTATTAAAATCATTTCAATCCTACAGTTAGATTCGTTAAAATAGATTTTTTTTCACGTATTTCAACTTTAAGTTTTTAAATTAATTATTTTTTTAATTTTTAAAAGTAGTTTAAATTAGTTTTTAATTAATTTTAAATTAGTTTAAATTAGTCTGCTGTAAAGTTCACGCATTGTCGCTTAGTCACGTTTGCCTTTCAAGCATCGATTAGGTAATTATTTGATATTCAAATTATTAAATCATTTCATAATCAAATAATTTTTGTGTTACAGGTGCACCCGAGTCACAAAGTGTTGTACATATCGTTCGCCGGCCAAGAACTACCTCATAAGGTATACGAAATACTTTGCACAGTGTAAACCTTAATTACTTTTTTACAGTTTTATGAATGTCTTTATTTTTATTATTCTTTAATTTCTATTTAATTTCTTAAAAGAGATCTGTAATATTTTTGAACATCAGTTTATAGAATGTAATAAGTATATTTTGATACGTTACGAACGTGTATTAAATAAATAAATAAAAAAAAACACCTAGAACATTAATATTTTGCCAGCGTAAAGATGGTGCAAAGTAACAATAATCTTAATTAGATATAATCTGTGGGTAACATAATAAACAAATAAATGAGTTGTATTTTGTGCATTTTTATCGTTGATAGCATATAAATTGTTATTAATAGGCCTTTAATTTTACTATGATGTTTAATTATAATATTTTATATCTACTATATTGTGCAATGCTAATGTAATTTGTAAACAGGTGAATATAAGGTTTTCTAAAATCTTTTATACAGATATAATACAGTATATATGGTGAATGTGTAATTTTATAACTTTTTAATAAAGATTAGAAAAAATAACTGTTTTAATACGATTGGTAATACATAGTATACAGGTATGATATAGATAATAAACAATTATGGGCTCCATTAACAGCGATATACGTGTTTATGCAAACAACATTAAAGCTATAAGGATCCCGTGCCCATTTTCTCGCGTTTCTTGAGAGTTTAAAAGACGTAGTTCCTTATACTTCAAGCGCACGCTGCATACGTAATTGTATTCAATTCTCAAAATTATAATTTTAATGTAATAGCCTGTACTTCTCAATGAATAATTCCCTAACAATACGTATGAAGGCTATATTGTGATCTGAGATTGCTTTAGTATCATAGATTATTAGATAGAGCATTAATATCATCTAGTATCTGTCTCATAGTTTCAGTCGTAGGTACCCTAAAAGATAAGACGCCCGGTGCATTCGTGTCGAGCGATGCAATGGTTTTCGAATCTCGTAAATAGTTACTAATTTTTCTAGTTTAATACGTACTTAACAATGGTTCACTTATAATTTACGTAATTACTGGTGGTAGGACATCTTGTGAGTCCGCACGGGTAGGTACCACCAACCCACCTATTTTTGTCCTGAATCAGTAATACGTTTCGGTTTAAAAGGTGGGGTAGCCGTTGTACTGTTAAAACATACCTATGGGCTCCGGTTACCACTTAACACCAGGTGAGCCGTGAGTTCATCCAAGCATGTAAGCTATAAAAAAAAAAAAAACAGACTATAATACTGCTGCACTAAAGAAAGAAGAGTTATTTACATCAGATTTAAAAAAGTTTGTTTATTCACACTTAGGTACATAATATAGCATCACTATGAGGTAAGTATTATTTATAAAACTTAACTATAGATACATTTCAACCTAAGTACACAAATCTGTTGCCTAATGTTACAATTCAGTTTTTCTACGAGTTCGTATACAACCGAAGACTTAAAACTACTTAAATGTCGAAACACTGATCATATGTCGGGAATTTTAGAAAAAAAGAAGATCCCAATTATTTTTATGCGTAGAAATTTAAACATTTCAGTCTTACAGAAAAAAACTTGTAGGGCACTTGTATACCGCCTCTGATTACAAAAGGGTTCTTTTATAATGTGAGTAACGCACATTTAAATTAATGTGAAGACAATAGCATAGATTGTAAACGATTAAACAAGAGGCGGTATTAAGCCAACAGTATAACAAGGAAAAACAAATTATTAAATTATCGGTTTAAATTATTGTTATAATATTCTTCTAACCTATTTTACAATCAATGAATCAATGTTTACTTATAGTATGTAATCGCATTGTTTACTTACAAAAGTATCGACATGTTCATGTGAGTGAGAAAATTTATTAATAGGTTTTTAAATATCTACTATTTTCGATATATTTTTTTGTTGTCTGAAAATTTTTAAAAATATGCTTAGAAATAGGACAGACGGTTCCAATTTTGATCACATTCATAGTGTGGTGATCATTCTGTAAATTATTATTATATCACTTGTTACATAGCTGTATATTTACAAATTAAATCTAAAAAATAAAATAGGAATGTTGTTTGATCACAAAATTAATAAAACAAGTATTGAAAATATTTTCAATTTACAATATAACATTTCATTTGTAAAATTACACATAAATATTCAATGGATTCTTTTTCGTGGGCATGTGAGGAGCGAATTGTGAATTGTTTTTTATTTATTTTTTTATTTGGCTTAAACGTATAGGTAACAAAAGTGGTTTATGAACTATTTAGTATTTTTGAAATTGCACAATTGTAGGAAAGAAAATCACTGAAAAGGTCTCAGTAAATAACCGCCATTTTACTGTGATTAGATTTAATCTCTTATCATCTCGTTTCATTTAATTTCATCCCAATTAATATCTCAAATTAATTACCCTCATTTCATTTCGCTCCATTTTTTTTTCATAAAACAGAATATACAAAAGATTAGGCTGTATTGTCTGATACCTTCGTCTTTCAAGGTGCAAAAATCAAACTATACTGACACCCGTATCTTTAGTCGTTTACACGAGCTTAACTCGACTCGACTCAACCTCCAACGCGCGTTTTGGTATGATTAGTCGTAAAAATAAACTCCACTCAAACGTCCTTGGAAAATTTTCCTAACCGGAGTGAAGTAAGCGAACTGTCAAGTCAAGGTACGTCGCGACGTACCTTGAACGTTCCTCAAGGCTGGTTTTCTATCAATGTCCAAATAGTATGTGGATCGCAAATGTAAATATATGATATTGTTNCACTCAAGACATCCTTGATTAAGGCAGCCGCCGATATTGACATGGACCTCGTTCGTGCTGCGATAGACGACTGGCCGCGCAGATTGAAGGCCTGTATTCAAAATCACGGAGGTCATTTTGAATAAACTTTAGTGTCATAAGAATCTATGTTTTGTTAAGTTCATTTTGGTATATGAATGGTTACATAATGAATAAATTTGTTTCAATTATTTTACATTAAACATGTGACAGAATTTATGACCTGACTAGGTATTTTATATTCATATGCATGTAGTAAAAAGAGGCTATTTCAATATTACAAACAGACACTCCAATTTTATTTATATGTATAGATTATATACATAATGTAAAAAAGACGCTCGTTCAAGTTTCCACGGGAGCTATCATCGGGAAAATAAAGAAAATAGGGTCACACCAATTGCAACAATTGATGAACTGCGTCAAAGAATCTTGGAGGCTGCAGAAGATATGAACAGACGGGGATATGCGAGACTCATTAAAATATTATTTTTAAGGCGTTGTCACGCGTGTGTTGACGTAAATGGTCAACAATTTAAACATTTAATTTAAGTACCCAATAAATATCTTAATTTCTCATTATGACTTTCATTGAAACAGTTTCAAAACCCTTTTTTGAACAGTAGGTAATGTTTTCAAAAACTAAGATAAATAATTCTTTTTATTTATTTATTTATTTATTTTATTTGTCTCTTGATAAGAGACAAATAAATAAAATGTTTTTGTGTCTTGATAAGAGAATTCTTAGAATTTTTACAAGTTTTGTCATAGTATTGCACCATTTTAGAATTATGATGAGCTGCAGTAACTTTTTTTATAACATGCCATAATACATTTCATAATTTTTTTTACACAGTAGCATGTCAAACTTGATTAAAAGTTAAAATGTTCTAAAATTTCAATTGGAACTGCAATTGAGTCGTCTATTATCAAAGGTGGCAATCTGTGCATTTGGACAAAACGTTTTTATTGATATGTCAATACAGATTTATTTGAATATAATCGTCTCCTTCAAAGAATACGGTTCAAAACCTGCATTAAATAAAGGTTAATAGTTAACCTGTTATTTATCTAAGATGTCGTTCCGAAGAGTTTTGTGACTGCCAATGGAATACAAAGTCAATAATTCGTTTTTCTGATTTACCAATNAGTCAATGCGATTATAAGTTTTATTTATATAATAATAAACTGGTGGTTGTGGAAAAGCACTTCAACAACACGATGCAACCAAAATCACACAAAAGCGGCGAATAAAAATACAAAGCCGGATCCAAAATCTAAAATAATAATAGGTTAGAAAATAAATAATACACTTTCAGATTTACCGCACGCACACATATTTACGAATAACACAGCAACAAAAACATCAAACAAGTTCATCTAGTGTCAAACAGACAGCGGCAGCTTGACTTTGACATTAAACAATGACCATAGACTAAAGAACTCTATGGGTTTGATGCTAGCTTGATCAAATTTTCATCATTATTACCTCACTCGAGGACAGTTGAGGAATATTGTAATGGTCGACTAAAAATACCAAACTCGAGTAAGTTTGGAGGGAATTCTCGAGCATCATCGGATGAGTTAAGAGTGGAGGACTATTTTACGAAACGTCTAAAGATACGGGCATGAATCTCCGATGGCTTTCTTCTAATGTCAAACATTACGTTAAATTAACAAAGGTGGGTAGGTACCGTACGTATGTACCGTACTTACTAATTTATACATGTACCATCGATACCTTTGCATTTAAAATACTAATTAAATCAAATATCACTAACGCAGAAAACAGTACACAATACGCACAAAACTTTAACAAAATATTGTTTATTAGAAAATCGGTGCCCTCCGCGGTTTCACCCGCTTTTTTTGTAATTATGTTTCCATCATGTTTCCAATATCAATATCATGTTTCCTGAATTAATTTAAGTCATGTGTTGCTGCCACTCAATCGATTTTTTTTTTTAATTATATTTTAGACGTCTACATATTCCTTGGCTCACCTGGTGTAAAGTGGATACCAGAGCCCATAGATATGAGAACGTGATGCTGCCACCTATCTTGAGTTTTGAGATCGAAATTTCAATTCTATTTTACAAAGATTACTTCGAGAAATACTTAAGTTATTGGTACCTATTAATCCGGTATTCCAACATGCTGTGCTCCCAGAAAAAAAAACAGCAAAAATTATGTGGATCCGTTGTGTCATTACTACGTGAAAGTAGGTTAAACGAACACATTTTAACTTGTCATAAAAAACTGATGGCAAAAGAAATTAAGAAAATTCGTCATTTGTTAATGCTGTATTTTACTGTTGCACAGCATACTCTCAGTAAATCCCATTTCGATTTGAGATTGGTTGACGTTTTCTATAGAAGTTTCGGGAACATTTAGTTGCTTTTCCATGTTTTCCTGTTTGTATGTTTCACTGTCCGCCACGTATGCTTTGTTGTCGACGCCAGATTTCTCTAACATTTCGGAGGCTTTAACCTCGATTGGCTTCTCGATCTTGGGGTCTTGTCGTTTACTGTACTTCTTGTTCGCTAGGTAGAGCCACCTGTAAGCAAAAAAAATTTTCCAACTCTCAAGTTATTTAACGGTTAGAAAACCCAAAACAAAAATTCTAAATAATTTGCGACTTGGCCGTACATCTGGGAATGTCGACGTCTATGAGATGTCTACTCACCGTCAGATGGGTCATTTACAAATGCAAAAAATAAAATAAAAACACTTCTCTTAAAATTTTCCTGGAAAACTCATTACTAAATTGAATTAAGCTTTACTTGTAATTTATCGATAGCAAATCGTTTTGGTATGCCTCAGAAAACATAATGCAGTTTAGAATAGTGTAGAAAATTCTCGTGTCACAGTTTTCGTTGCCATACTCCTCCGAAACGGCTTGACCGATTTTGATGAAATTTTTTGTGCTTATCCAGTATCTATGAGAATCGGCCAACATCTATTTTTCATCCCCCTAAATGTTAGGGGTAGTCCACCCCTAAATAAATTTTTTTATTTTTTTGACAATTTTTTGTTTGTTATAATGAGGCGTTATGTGATTGAATGAGGTTCTGTTATTTTTATATTCCCTCATGGTTCACATCGCTACATGCCTCTTTCACTCTTTTACCACATCTTTACACACTTACAATAAGTTAGTTTTTTTTTCTTTACTAGAAATTCTCTAGAAATCTTATATATGGCAAAACAACGTTTGCCGGGTCAGCTAGTTGTTTTATAAAAGAACTGGCTGTACACGACCGCTTCGCTGGGCATTTAAAATTAACATCATTATTTCTCACCCCCACAAAGATTCTCATCATTAACGCCCCCGCAACTGGTGTAAGGAGTCCAACACTCATATAAATATTAGCCTATCCATTGAGTACATGTATTTTCTACATGGATACCAAGTTTCAAGTCGGATGCATGGTTCAGACTTCAGTAGTTATAACGGAACATCCGTACAAACCACTAGATTTATATATTGGTATAAATAATTATTTTTATAAGTCAAAAAAATTTCTTTAATAATCCAATAAATAAAATACCTCATATTCAATACATATTAAATAGATTATTCATTAGTATGAACAACATTATCTTAATGAAGTAATAGCAGCCTACATTTTTTCAAGATGATTCAATGTAACTTGCAATGTAAAATTAATACAGGCGTGCTAAGATAAAACTTACATAAAAATGAGAACGGCTGGCGTCGTGAGACCCCCTCCGAGTAAGAAGAAAGCTCCCGGGAAAGATTTAATCGTAGCCGTGTAGACCGTCGTATACATTGGAGCATAAATGAGTGGCATCATCGCTTCGGCGAGACCGAAGAAGGAGTTCACTTTTCCTAAAAAAAAAAAAAAGGAAAATGAAGCATCCGTTGCCTAATGGATAAAACGCCCGATGCATTCGTATCGAGAGATGATTATTACATATAAGTCGGGTCTCGAGAACTGTGGCAGATCCCAATTTTATTAAGTAAATACGTACCAAGTACTTACGAACGACTTTCGCAAGGTAAGATTAATATCGTGTAATAAAAATAAAAACCATAGGATATTTTGATTTCATTTGTATCATCATCTTCCTGTCTGTTTTTAGCCGCATAGCCGGTCACGGGTTCCGATTTGCCCTAATGCCTTAAGTCCTGATGCTTATGAGTTTCGGTACCCAAAGGTCACAATTAAAAAATGTCCGCATAGAAGTTTAATTAATAAGTTACCTACTTATTAAAAACTTACCTAACTCATCCCTTTCCACCAACTTCGAGATCATTGACCTCATAGCTATGAACGATGTTCCGTTAAATATTTCAATTAAAGGTGCTGAAAAATATAAAATTAAACAAATATAAGTTAAAGGTTTCTTCGACATATAAAAGAAATTTAATTCCCAAGACATGCCGCCTCGGTGTCCTCGAGTCGCAATAACCGTCCAAAATAGCAGCTATTTTCAGTCCTCACCTTATTTTTAACTTAATTTTCGTACTATTATAATTGCTAATTACACCATGTTTAACATGCCGTTTTATATACGGGGCTTAGGACGCTGATCTCGTGGTATTGAAGGAATGTAGATCTTCACGACGACCTAAATCTAATATCGATATATAAGCATCATAAGGAAGCGTCAGAACGCTACTTTGACAAAGCGGCGCGACATGAAAACCCCCATAAAGTGGCCGCCACTAATTACTTATCCGACTGCGACGGGACAACGCAAAGCCGCCGTCGTCCTAAACATGTCTTGTCGTATCCCCCGAATACACTCTCAGTGCTTTTAGGACCTTCAAACTATGGTCACCGTCCGCACCGAACTCGTCGATTACGACGAAGAGCTCGATGAGCGAACTAACCCATAGACACAGCTCACTGAGTTTCTCGTCTGATCTTCTCAGTGGGTCGCCAAAAAGCTGAGCTCTCAGATATCGTGCCGTGGCTTGGTATCGCGAAATGCGTCGGGCACTGTCCATGACGGCGATTCGGGATTTGAGATGGCACAATCCCAATAGAGCAAGAGCCCGCGACAGCCAGACCTTCGTTATTTTATAAAAGCTGAAAGTTTCTCTGTGTATGTCTCCAACACAGGTAAGAACGACCCGCGATTATAGAGTTTCGATTGTGGTTACTTGGGCAGGTAACAGGCAGTAAAGGTATATAAAATAGTACCTTAAATTCGTTAAAGTATAAAGGTTTTTTTTTTAANCAGCCCACTGAGTTTCTCGCCGGATCTTCTCAGTGGGTCGCGTTTCCGATCCGGTGGTAGATTCTGCGAAGCACGGCTCTTGCTAGGGTTCGTGTTAGCAACGTCATCAGGTTTGAGCCCCGTGAGCTCACCTACAAAAGTTAGGGTTACGCTGACATAGCCTCTCAAGGCTCTCAGCTTAGGTAGGAAAAAAAAAAAAAAAAAAAAACCTGTGTTGGAGACATACACAGAGAAACTTTCAGCTTTTATAAAATAACGAAGGTCTGGCTGTCGCGGGCTCTTGCTCTATTGGGATTGTGCCATCTCAAATCCCGAATCTTGGGCTACAAGCTCCGATCAGAGAAAACATAAGTTGAAGAATAAAATCAAAATAAAAAATAGCATAGATGGAACATTTAGATTGGTCTTGTCACATCCTATTTACACGAAGGCCTACATATAATTAGATAATAAACAAACCTAAGTAAATATGCCATGTTTTCGTTGCAAAAGCGTACATGAATCCAGCTAGTATTTTGCTTGTGCAGGAAATCACTCCAATTATAGCATCGTCTAACTTCATAACGTGACTGAAGACTCCGACCGAAAATAGGGTTCCTAAAACATAAAATAGTTTGTTAAAGTATCTACATTAATGAGTACTGAACGTTAATTATAAAAAATGTTCCTTGAAATATCATATGCGAATTATTTTATTAACGAACATCAAAATACTATTTATTAAAATAAATAAAAAAGAACCTATGGGAAACAAAGATTGCTGTGATAACTAAAGTTTGGAATACCGCGAAATTAAAAGTAATCAGCTGTATGTTTTTTGCGTGGCCGTTGTACTCAATTTATAACGTTAATTTTTATTTTAACTAGTCACATCAAAAATGTTAGGTAAAAAGGGAACAAATAGAATCGAATTTACAAATTTGCGGGTCTTATCTATCTATATATATCAATATGAATTGCTGTTCGTTAGTCTCGCTAAAACTCAAGAACGGCTTGACCGATTTGGCTAATTTTGGTCTTGAATTATTTGTGGAAGTCCAGAGAAGGTTTAAAAGTTAAATAAATATGAAAATGCTCGGAATTAAATAAAAATAACAATTTGTTTTTCCTTTGATTCGTCCCCCGTCGGACGGCTTCCTTTTGTTTGTTTTAAGTTTTTTTTATACAAAAGTTTAGGTCTTTTATTTTTCGATTGAGGCACTACAAAGTCTGCCGGGTCAGCTAGTTATAAATAAAATTATAAGACTCACCTAGTAATGAAGTGCACATAGCGTACGTTGAGAACATACTGAAGTCAACCTCATTCCAATTAAACCTGAATCTAGTGTAAAGGTACACAACGGACATCTCCCCTGCAATCCAAAAGTGAATCAAAATTAATAATGCCTCTAATTGCACCACTTAACACTGTTGCCAAATTTAAAGCTTCGATTTATCGCCTTTTCGCTACGCAAAATGCGTACATACGAACTTCCAAATAAACGAATAGTTATTATTCCCTTGAATTAGGCAATCTGGAAGCAAAGACGCTCACAATATGCCCAAAAAAGTAAAAAGGTCGTAAAGAATGCATGCATATATTTTTACTGGGTAAGTAATACTAATATGCAATGTCACAAGGACGATTTCTTATTCCAGTTTTTTTTAAAAACAAAGATTTATAAATAATATGGATAACTAACATAATCTTCACAATAGATAATAAAATTCTTCACGAGATTGATATTATTAATTTTGACGTCACCCCTTTGCAACATTTTATAAAAATCTACGTTTAATTAAGGAAGTATGTATTTATAGATATTCAAATAGAGGTATTTACCCAGCGCAAACAATGAAATAAAAATGCGTCCGTCACGCAAAAAGTTCACATGGATGATTCTTAAAACCGACCCAACAAAAAAGGCATTATATTGCCAACAACATGCGGTTTTCAAGAACTACGTTGACGCGAGCATGTCAATCAATTTATCACAGGACGTACGCTGATTAAGCACATTAATTACCGAATTGTACTCAAAAAAATGCCGAATCGATTCAGGAAATGCAATGCTAAACATCCATTAGTGAGGAAGCACTTTGTTATTGTTCATTAAACTGCGGTGGTAGACAAGCAATGGTATTAAATGTTTTAAAACAAAAAGTAAACAAACCGAATTGCTCACAGATCTTTAGCAATTACTTTTATGCAGTAATGATTCTGCAAGTGCTGATTAACTATCTCTTAACATTCAATGTTCACATGACATTGAATTACAAGTTCCGCGTTGCAAAAAATATATTTGTGCACAGGTATTGTAAATACCGAAATTAATTCAAAGAAACTATATACTCCAGACATTTTGTGGTTGGTATATTACGGAACGAATTCCGAACAAATGCTTCTGTTACAACTCTAAAAAATTGTCTAAATCCACAATTAATACTTCTAAACAACGTGATTCTTTCCTACGATTGAAATAAAACTTAGAAAATTTGAGTGCGTTGTATTAAAAATAATTTAAGTAGATAGCTTAGCTATTGGTATGTACCGAATTGTATTTTACATATTGCTGCTCCCAGTTTCCGCTAGTGCTGTGAGAATACGTATTGAACTAACAATCCCTGACAAAAAAAGAAGGCACAGAGATGAATTCAGTAAACGATTTGAATGTAAACATATCTTCCACAGTAAGTGCATTAAATAAAATCGTATTGATAACCTAATCAGGTGATCCAACTTGCACTTCATCATTAATCCTACCGACCAAACTGCTTAGAAGAGAAAGCGAAACCTATCGTTAAATGAAAGCTAAATAAATATTAACAAGTTATTCAAGTGTTTATGTCATACGTCGAATCTAGTTTCGAGTTACCTGGACTTTACGACGCAATCCACTACAAACGAATAAATCAGCTAAAATCACTGAATGTGAAAAGCTGTATTAGTGAATACATCAAATTTTAATCGTTTACTACTAATTTAATATTCCAAAAAATTTACCATACCTATGAGAAAAAAAGAGAAGACATGTTGCGCCGACCCCAGGTGACTGAGAGAAGGGCAGGATAATGATGAGCTATGATAAAAACTACCGTTGCCCTTGCAACTGCCCATACGTTGCGGCGTCTGCCTACAAGTGTACCTTGACGACTATTTAATGTTATTAAACTTATTACCGTCATAATTTTTATGTGAGTAATTTAAGGTATGGTAATTTTCCTGTACGGCCTGATGTGAGATTAAGAGTTTCCGTGTAACGTAGATGACCACACTACTTAGAGAATCTATAGAAATTAGTAATATTAAATTTTAAAAGTCGTGGCCTACAGAATAAGACGCCGTTACCACTATGCCGGTGTTCAACATCCCGCACATCGATTTTATTAAGGAAAGATGTACTTAGGTATCACATATTCATGACTGACTCCAACAATGAAAGACATTAGGTAATAATCAAAATTTATAAATGTAGATAGGGCGTATTTTATGTAGAAGAAATAGTCATGCGTTCCGACTTGAAGAAACTTAAAAGTTCGATATCAAATCTCAAGGAAGGTGATAAGCATTTAAAATAAGTTCGTTAAGCTTTTAATAAGATTATATAGATAAGAATTTTTTGAGCCCACGATACTCAAGAATTTTCGGACTCTGTCTTACAGCTGTGTGATACTAACACAGGTCATTGACTCTCGACGAGTTTTCTCACTAAGTACGGATCTATCGACTCAGTACTATTAGTATAATTAAATTATAATTACATTTATCTATCTAGTACAACATTTGATTCATAACAATTTTTACTTTGATCAATAATAATTAACAAGCTCTTAAATTATCGCCTTAAACATTGACTTATTAAATTTTCATTAGCAAGCACTTGTTAATTATTAAAAATGCACTCAATACCGCAAGTTTTGTAACTTACGTGAAACAGAAAAAGCTACCTAATTTAATTCTTAAAATAATAAAGTTTAGTGAAATATCTGTACTTTCTTAACAAATTGCCAATTGTATTTATAATATATTATATAAACATAATTGTTATAAAAAATATGATGTACAACAACAAATTGGCACATGGAAACAATAACGTAAGCATATAATTATTGACTGGCAAGTTGCTAGGTAACACCTACTAAAAGTTACAATGATTTAAAAAGAAGATTATTCGTTGTAGAGCCTGCTCTACCAAAATTTCCTGAAATATACAGATACAGGGCTTTTAGCCCACACTAACTTCTAGCTTAGCCTCAATCAGTTGTGAAGCAATTATTACTTTTGGATTGAATAGTAAAATAGCCGAAGTAGCAACGAAATTAAGACTTCATCAGATATTATCTTGTCATCGGATATGTATATCATATTGTGTAGCTGCGGTATTTAAGTTGTTATGTCTATGGGCTTTACTTTCCAATGAACCCTGAGAAAGAGAAAGCCTGCCCTCAAATTAAAACATTACACTCACCATATATGGGTCCAATGATAACACAGAGCACCACGACCAGCATTATGACTCGTAGTCTTCTATTATTAGGACCTTTCTTGAACGCCACCATCAATGTTTCCTTGACATACTTTGTATCGAAGAAGTCACGAAGCCAATGGCAGCAGTTCTTTGGTGGTTTCTGTGTGTCAAAACGGTGTTTTAGTTAAGTTTATAATTAAGCAGCTCCAAATTTCGGATGCAAAGAAAAACCAATAAAATTCGATATTTATATCTTTTGGTATTTGAAAATCTAAATTTTAGTGTAAATGCTTACAACAATAAAACGCAAATCATAGAAGCAAAAACGAATGAAGAGAGGAAGGAATTAAAAAATGACTACGAAAAGAAGAAACAGAAAAATCACTCCATATGGCAGCCGTTGTAAAACTGGGACTTAGAAATGTCTTAAGGTGGGTAGCGGAATTTCCATTGTTGATGTCAATGGGTTCATCGGGTTACTGAAGACCTGGTCTGACTTGACCACCCATCTAAGCAATAAATAAAAAGATACAAATAGGCAGGATAGTGGACATGCCTGAGAACTCACAATGCGTCCTATCACCAATAATTACGCAAATGATTTGAATGCAATCGATGTTACAAAATACGCTGCGTAACTACCGATTTTGAGTTTGGGCGCTAGTTGTACGCTAGTTGATGATTGTTGGGTCTCTGAGCCTAGATTGTTGGCACTCTGAACCTAGATTAATTTAGTGCTAGACCTTGCTGGAAGCTGAATGTAGATAAAATGTTGATGATGAATGGAACTTTTGTTGACTGAGTTTTAATTATAGAAATATAAACAATTTTATTTGATGAAGGCATGAAGCTTGTACGAATAGTATACTACGTGATTTTTAATTGAATCAATTTTTGGAGTTTTATGTGATAGAAAAATAATTAAAGGATTAATCAGAAAACAAATGTGGATGATAAAAATTTCTAAGTAAACGCACTATGCTAATTCTCCTCGAACGATAGAACTTACTAGAGCCGAAGGTTCACTCCAGCAACCGACTGTGACACCAAACTAGGTCAAGTTGACAGAATATTTGTTTTGTAAGTTTGTAACGCACGAATAATCTATTTTAGTCATTGAACTTGAAAACGTGTTATATAATCATTATAATTTCACGGTCGCCTTATTAGTCGGCAATTATTTTAGAATTTTTTTTTGTTAATAACCTAAAAAATATGCAGATTACAAGATAAACGGAAGGTCTGTCTTGCTTCAATTACGTTACCACGGATTATTGAGCAAAAACGACTTATTTTTTAATACTACTTAAGCATAGCTTGCCGTTTTAATGTCATTTCATTGGCATTATTATTATCATTATAAAAGAAATATTCGAAAACCATATCGAACCTTTAACTGAAAGGTTATCTCGCATTTATATAGTTGAGAAGATCTGCTTTTCAACAAAACATTGTTCTTAGTAGCTCATTTGTTTGGTGGGCAGCGGCTGACCTGTGCCCTTGGAATCTCCGGTGTCCATGAGCTACGTTAACTATTAATTAACCACCAGGCTAAGTACAACCGAGAAATGAGTCGACTATTATCAAAGCCGGCAATGTGACTTTTGGACAATTGTTGTTAAATCAGAAAAACGAATTATTGACTTTGTATTCCATTGGCAGTCACAAAACTCTTTTGAACGACCTCTTAGATAAATAACAGGTTAAGTATTAACCTTTATTTAATGCAGGTTTTGAACCGTATTCTTTGAAGGAGACGATTATATTTAAATCAATCTTTATTGACATATCAATAACATTTTTTTGTTCAAATGCACAGATTGCCACCTTTGATAATAGACGACTCAAATACACCACAAGGTAAACAAAACAAAATGAATTTGCTTAAATCCTAAAAATGTTCGTAGCAGAGGCGATATATTTCTAACCATAAATTTTAAAGCGCATTACTCCCATATTATGTGATTGGACTAGTGATTGCATTAACAAGATGTAGCAATGACTACATTTACTATTAGAAGTGACATCGATGATCATTTTCGTGCTCGCGAAGACACGACAGGCTTACTCAACAGGTCAGATCGTAAATATTCACAAAAACCGTCGTCGAAATGTTCCTTCTCATATAAGAATTTTCTTTTAAAGAAAACCTTGTCCTTTTTTCTGCTTGCTCTACTACGAGAACTTAAATAATCTCCCGTAATAGCATTCAAAAATAATGATAATTCATATAAATTATAATATTTTTATACACTGATAAATGGACCGTGAAAATCTATTGATTCAATAATTATTGTAATCAATGGTAATGAGTATCGCTTTATTCATTGAACTAATTAATCCTAAATCACATCGTAGATGTCACGTGCTGGTGGTATTAAATAGCCACATGCATTGTGCCTTCTTCTGCTGAGAAACATTGATATTTTTTGGTGTGAAGGGTCAATAAAATGTAATTGAAATTTTGACCTTATGACTCAAATTAGCGGCGTTGGCGCTACGACGTGATCTTCAATATAAGTCAATAACAGTAGATATTATAAAAATTAACTAAAAACAAAAAAATATTTTTTTAGTATACCAAATATTGCAAATTTTTTTTACTGAATTTAATTGTGGTAATCTTTTTCAATTCCCATCTGTGGCACTCTGTTCGAGCTTCATATAATTTATTTCTCATTCATGATTTTTATACTTTTAGAAACGAGCAACACCACCCAAGATAATCTTACTCTGAATTAGTCACTCTTACTAACGAATATTTAATTCTAATTAATCAATCTGGGCGCCTTGGTCACGTATACAAGTATAGACAATTACTTAACACGATAGATAATATTATGTAGGTACTTCAGGTTAGCGTGGTATGGACATGTGATGCGTAGAGAAAAGATGCATATGACTAGGAGATGTATGGAAATGGTAATGCAAGGTAGAGGGGGAAGAGGTCGACCGAAGAAAACATGGATGGAGTGTGTGAATGACGATATGAGAGAGAGAGAGGAGTAAGTGTTGAGATGGCGGCTGATAAAAGAGAATGGAAGAGAAAAATTAGCTGTGCCGACCCCACATAGTGGGATAAGGTGGAGAAAAAGAAGAGAAGTAGGTACTTAATAAAAAAAACTGTAAGATTCCGACCTTTCAAATATTTTACAGTTTCGTGGTCATGGTCGATTTATGTCAACGACTCGCCAAACGAAACTCGAATACCAAAGAAAATATTTATTAAGATACTGGGAATAAATAGTGAAATAGCAATGAAATATTAAACAGTCAAATACCCTTCTTGAGATAGTCAATTGCAATATTATCTAATTTCATTAAATTGAAGAGAAATATATAATACTTTGAATAAATTCTGACACTCACCACAGATGGATCAATTTTTTTAACCTCCTTGATCCTGAAGAATCCATACATGAAGCTCAGTATGTACAAAGTAGCACTAACGGAAAACACACCGTATAATCCGATTTTCCTCACTAAAATCCCGCTGAGCGCAGCCCCCACAGGTACTCCCACGGAATGAAACAAATTCACAATTCCTATCCTTAAAGTCCGTTGTTCTTCGGTCGTAACGTCACCAATGTAACTAAACACCCCCATAAACATCGTGAACCAGCCTCCGGTTAGTGCGGGGAATATTGCTTCTGTCACGGCCGCAACCTCAACTGGCAACTCGTAGAAGAAGTATGTGTTCACAATGAGACCGATGCTTGTGAGGAACTCCCCTACGATTGGAAGGAGCATGCAAAATTTCCTTTGCCCAACTCGGTCACTGTACGCTCCGAGGAATATTAATATGAAGCAAGGCAAAAACGATTGTAGAACAGTTTTCCAGCCTGTTACAGAAGCCACTAATGTTTGGACGGCTTCTTCTTCGAAAGTGTAATTTGTTGTTTCTCGTCTCGTAAGTGCATCACACACGTGGTGTTCAAACCTCAGATTGACTCGACAAGCTTTTTCTAAATATAGATTCTGTGTGGCTAATGCTGCTAATACCGATGGCATTACGTAACAAGCCAAAATAGGTTCAACAGTAATTAGAGAAATCATACGCCTTGTTTTTTGCAAAATCCCGAGCCCTTCCCAGTTCTCGGAATCATCTTTGGGTTCATTTTCCCCGTCTTTTTTGTTGTTCTTAATACTATGACTAATTATGTTACTTCCATTTAAGTCACTGCTATTAAGTATTTTATCTGCAGACTTGTTGTTTTCCAAAATTTTGCTATCGATCGCCATAACTGGGTCGCGTCTTTCTGAAACAAATTTTAATATAATAAAAGAAGGACTATCAAAACTATATTCATTTTATATTAAAGTTGAGCGTACGTGGTTTTACGTGGATCACATGCTAGGCTTTTGTACCTTTGATTAGTAAATGAACTAGCACCGGATACTGTAATCATCCTATTACTGTTGACGTACTTAACCTAATCGCCGCCGTCATTCGGAATTAGTTTTACCTAGACACAATGGATTAACATTAAGAAGTCAGTCATTGTAATATGCTACTTCGCAACAAAGAGTTCGGAATATCATTCTCTATACGTGACATTTATTTTGTTTGTGATACAACACGCATTTTTCGTGACGTCTATAAGATCTCACAATGAAATTTAATTTAACGGTTCGGCTACCGGTTGATTGTATCGCGGAAATACATTTTCCGGCTTCGCGATTTCTGGTTTTCGATGTTAGCATAATCGATTAATTATTTGAAGTTTGTGAACTAACCAATAAAGCGTGACGAGAAAATAGGCTTTATGTTGATGATTTGAAAGGTGTGAATACGCAAATTTTGAAAATAAAGGATCGTATACACCTCTCTAATTTGAACAAGCGACCCAACAATCAAAGCTTTATTTAAAATTGACAGCATTTGCGTACATAATAGTTATAGCAAATTGCGCGAACACTTGTCTTCTGGCTCAACGAATCGTGATAAATTCATAATCATCTAAGTTAGTTGACCGTTTCAATTGTCACTTCTAAGAAAAACATTAACAATTAGATGTAGTTGTTTTACGAACATAATTTATTGGAAGTCATTTTGAAAGGTAATGATGCAAAAACTATATTACAATCGTTTATGAAAACTAGTGGTCCCCTGGTAGTCGAAATTCAACTATAATTAATTGAAATTATAAGTTTGTCCACTATTAAGATTCTATTGCCAAAGACTATTAAATTTATACTTCTATAATCATAGGTTTCGCCAAAACTACAGTTTAGACAAATAAGGACAAACAATATTTAACCTATTCTCAATTTGACCACATATATAAATAATACTATATGCAATAAGAAAAGTTTGACAATAATCAAATAGCATGTGTGCGCGTGTGCGTGTATGAAATGCATGGTAGTGGGTGCAATGTTTTTTTATTGATTTGAGGTATTGTTTATGCATAATTAAGAAAAATATTAACATTCTGCACTCCTTCTCTGTATTCTCTATAAGTGTGGAAAATTTCATACTTCTCCGTCCGCGCAATTCTCGTAAAAAGAGGTACAAAGTTTTAGCTTCACGTATTAATATATAGATATACAACTGAGCTATGATATAACTAGGCAGACTAAAGGAGCTTTAGGAATTTAAAGTTCATCGAATGACACTTAATTGTATTGTGAAAAGAGCCTATCCCTGTTATGAACTTGAGCCTATCCCGCTTACCGCTCTTAATGTGAAGCCGACCAGTACTTGAGACAGAAATTAGGAGGTTGACATAATTAATTTAGTGAGAAGAATTCTGCATCGTTTCTAATTAAAAAAAAAAAGAATTAAGTCTAACGAAGATAGAACACGTTTGGTAAACTTTAGCTACTTTTAAATATCATATGGTGTCCTGTCAAAAGGCATACTTAATCGATTTTCATTTTGCAGAAGATGACAGTTCGAGTGATTTTTATACAATGCGTTTGTGGAAATCGATGTACAGGATAAATTTCAAGCTCTTCCACCGAACTCTCAGAAAGACACCTTCTTATCTCAGTAGACAGACGATCCGAAATCTAGCATTGTAATTGTAATAAATTTTGGAGGTTTATTCGAAGTAATATTAATGGAACGTTAAGGTTAAATACTAATAACCAGTATAGTCTTGTTTTACCAATGCCTTGTGTACGTAAAATAAGATACGCATTTTCGGAGGCTTGGCAAAATCAAGTTTGAAATCGTCGTGGCCTAAAGGATAAGACGTCTGGTGCATTCATATGCGATGCAACGGCGTTCGAATCTCGCATGCGGGTACCAATTTTTCTAATGAAATATGTACTTGACAAATGTTTACGATTGACTTCCATGGTGAAGGAATAACATCGTGTATTAAAATTCAAACCCGCAAAATAATACTTTGCGTAATTACTGGTCCTACACCTCTTGTGAGTCCGCACGGGTAGGTACCACCACCCCGCCTATTTCTGCCGTGAAGCAGTGCGTTTCGGTCTGAAGGGTGAGGTACCCGTTGTAACTATACTGAGACCTTAGAACTTATATCTCAAGATGGGTGGCGCATCTACGTTTTAGACGTCTATGGGGTCCAGTAACCACTTAACACCAGGTGGGCTGTGAGCTCGTCCACCCATATAAGCAATAAAAAAAATTGCAACTACTCCTAATAGTGGATTGTTTTGAAATTTGACGATTGCGTGTTCCAATGACAGTGCAGTAGTTACGATACCTATTTTTTCACGCTTCTACGAGTAATGTTAACGTGTTGACTGAGTTCATGTGTGGCGAAAACTCGATGAATTCATGTCATTTTGACCTCGCTCCAGCGATTACATATTGTCATTGAAGGCCGACACTGATTATTCACAAATTTGTTTTCATAGTTCATCTTTTACTGTCGCATTTTTTTCCCGCTCAATCTGGTCTACCTCAAATAACATTTTCGTGTATTGTCATTAAAATTCAATAGCATTTGCAAATATTATTATAGCTTTAGACATACGATATATATGTGCGGGTGGATGTGACTGATTTCCTCCTGTAAGCCTGCGCCGATTTTGAGCAAATTCTTTGTGTGTTCGAGTCGATACGAAAATTATTTAGATTCGCAAGTCGGCATTGTAAAAACTTTTGTATAGAAATATTCATGAAATCGGTCCAGATTATTAAAACATATTATTCAAAAAATATTAAAATTTCCCGCTAGTTACATTATAGATACAGATTTATATAATTAAGTTGTTATTCGATAAATGAGTATTTCATTTAATACCTGTTAAAGTTCAAAGGTCACCTTTTTAATTACTTATATTTTTTAGATTTATATTTTAAGCGAGTCGGTAATGTTATTTGGTAGCAAATTAATCAAACTTATGTTACGTTTAAATTAAAATTAAAATTTAGAATACAAGACATAAATGAATTAAAACTGGAGTCTTTGAATACATTGAAATTAACTTCATATAAAAAATGTCCGAGCAATATTTTCCTCTAACAAAAAAAAAACTTTTATAAATGTAAATTAGTATTAATTTACTGTAGACAATTTGATTGACTTTTATTACTAAAAAGAATTAAGAGTAAAAAAATAGCTATTCTATTGAACTATGTTTTAAAATTATTCAATACTTCTAAGGATAATGTGTAGCTACGCTATTTTCATTTAATAAATTGAGCTAAACACTTTTCAACTATTCGCTTTTAGAAGCTTTAATGATCGGTTTTTCTATATATTTATTTCGATCCTTTAAGTTCTTCTTCAATTATGATAAGAGGTCTGAGCACGCACGAGACTAGAAATGGTGATACATTTCTACCGTAAAGTAACCGTGCGTTCCAATTGGATTAATGGGATAGCTGTTAATAAAATTAAGGCTTCGATCTCAACATCTACGGACTTTAGCTTAATTACTACTACATAAGAAGCAGACGTAAGTTTGGCTCAACATCTAGAGAAGTGCTTCCTAGTGTTTTTTTTATTGCTTAGATGGGTGGACGAGCTCACAGCCCACCTGGTGTTAAGTGGTTACGGAGCCCATAGACATCTACAAAGTAAATGCCGCCACCCACCTTGAGATATGAAAAGAGTTCTAAGGTCCCAATATAGTATACTAGTAGTATAAGGTCTCAGTATAACGGCTGCCCCACCCTTCAAACCGAAACGCATTACTGCTTCACGGCAGAAATAGGAAGAGTGGTGGTGGCTAACCGTGCGGCCTCACAAGACGTCATACCACTAGTAAATAGTGCCCCTTTTGATAACTACATACCTACTCCTTAACAGACACTCTTACTAAATCTTAAACCAATATATCTTATCAATACCATTTTCACGTATCCCTAATAGAACCCCGTGTAGGTATCTCTGAGAATACACTAACTACAAGATGAGAATTGTTGATTTAGACTAATCTAGAGCAATAAAAAAATACTCTAAGAACTATTTGAAGTAGATGTAATTAAAAAAAAGCGATTTCTATTAGAAAAATCGCCCCCAAGTACTAGTTTTCGATTTCGTTCCGTCTACACAGAATCTAAATTAAGAGTTATCTATAAATAAAGACATCCGCGGAGAACGTTGTGAAGTACTTTCACTCGTCGGACGTAAACAAACCGCGACCTTGTCACGAATATCTCAATACGGTGAATAATTATACAGAATTATGATTACGGAATAGACAAATTTAATAGCACTTGATTCAATATAATACTTTTATTTTTTAATCTAAATATTGCAGCCTTGACACGGCGTTGGCATGGCAAAGGCATGATGAGATCGGGAGGCCACTAGGTTATAATCCAAGTTCTCAATGACGTGTATCTAACATGTTTAATAACATCGTGTAATAAAATTGAAACCCGCAAAATTATAATTGGCGTAATTACTGGTGGTAGGACCTCTTGTGAGTCCGCACGGGTAGGTACCACCGCCCTGCCTATTTCTGCCGTGAAGCAGTAATGCGTTTCGGTTTGAAGGGTGGGGCAGCCGTTGTAACTATACTGAGACCTTACAACTTATATCTCAAGGTGGGTGGCGCATTTACGTTGTAGATGTCTATGGGCTCCAGTAACCACTTANTCCGCACGGGTAGGTACCACCGCCCTGCCTATTTCTGCCGTGAAGCAGTAATGCGTTTCGGTTTGAAGGGTGGGGCAGCCGTTGTAACTATACTGAGACCTTACAACTTATATCTCAAGGTGGGTGGCGCATTTACGTTGTAGATGTCTATGGGCTCCAGTAACCACTTAACAACAGGTGGGCTGTGAGCTCGTCCACACATCTAGTCAATAAAAAAAAAAAAAATA